TTTTCACACTGCATATATGCAAAGCTTTGGGGCACATGTAAGCATGGCAGATATCATCATGCTACGTTTTGCTGGACCTCCACAGATTTCTTAGTGTCTGGTAGTGATCAGACAGCTCTCCTGGTGTTCTGCGTCTCCCTCCTGCGTCTCCTCTTACACTGCAGGTGTCTTTTATTGAGCCAGCAGTGATTTACTGTACTCTTGTTTTTCTCCTCGCTCCTGCAATCAGGCACTGCAGTAGTGACAGGTTAAAGCTGGAGGTCAGAACATTTCACATACGTGCATGTGCGCACACAGCAGAGAACAGAGTGTGTCTCTAATAGGAGGTCATTATCAGAGAGGATTGGCCTTTTAGAGGGAGGCACCACAGGAGAGCTTTGAGATTTTTTTTTTTTTTTTTTTTTTTACAGGTTGAGAGGTTTATGGAGGCTCTGTGGGCAGAGCTCAGGTCTGAGGATGTAATGGGATAGAGTAGGAACCAAGACCCCTGATCAGAAACCCAGTAATGCTGCTTTTGTTCTTAGTAAAAATATGAAAATACCAGTGACAATGAAAGACTGAATCACATCATTGAGAGTAATACATTTGCATATTGTTTATTTTCTACCGCTAGAAAGCCCACACAGTGAATCTGAGAAACGAACGTCCGGAGTCTGAATGCTCTGAGACAAAATGTTACAAGGGTTGTAAAACTGAAATGTGATGTCCTTTGGCTGAGCCTGAGCCCTCATATATATGTTTGGAGAAAGAAAACGTGTTCTAATTTCTTATTAAGTATTCTTTTAGCCTATTGATGAAGTAATTTCTGAGTTTAATAGAGCAATGTTACATGATATACATCATGTTATTTAGCTCAACCAAGTCATTAGTCCACTACAGTGTAATTACTTTCCCTTTGCTAAGCTTGGCCAGTTAGCCTTCAGCATGTAACGTACTATTGTAACTCATCATGTTTTCTCTGTTGTGTTTATAAAAAACTCCACTATTTATATTTGGTAGCTGAAAACACATTTTTATTGCAGGAAAAAGTGGAAAAAGTGAAAAAAAAAAAATATTTCTGGAGTTAAGTAAATTCAGTTTTTAATTTTTGTCCCCCTGATTTCCATTTCTTATCATTTTCACGTGCTATCTAATCCCTCAGTTTATGTCAATAGGCTGATTTTTAAACAGTGTTTGTTTGGAAAATGTTAAGGGCAAAAGGAAAGCATGTTCTCATTTCTTCCTCAGCATTGTTGTAGACTGTAGTGTTATAAATGAAGCTTAACCGCCTCGTGGTGATTCCACTAGAGAGCAGAGAGGGAAGCTACTAAAACTGCTGACATCTATTGAGTTTTGTTCTTGGTTATGAAGGGCACAGACGCGTATTGGTGCCAAATAAGGATCGGTTATAACCTGATACTGACTCTGCAGTGGTACGCTTCCGTAGAGTTGCGTATCATAAGGGGTTTAAATTACTAAATGAAACTGAGGCTAACTTTCCAGCTAGCTTATCGAGCCAGAGTTTAGTCACTGCAGTTTGCTTTTTTCTTCTGTTTTCTGTATGTTCCTAAATTTGAATGCTTTAGAACATGAATGTATTGCTAAAATGACTGATAACCACTGTTACAAAATATCAAGTGTTTGATTTAACAATTCAAAAGGGATAATAAAACTATATGTTCTCAGTTTGACTTCAACATTATTTTAAAGTGAATGAGTTAGTGTTATAAAAAAGGAACATTCAGAATTCACATTTAAATGTGTTTAAGCTTAACCACATCAAGGGAAGTCCAGTGAATAGCAGAGACGATTACTGTTACTCTGATAAACAGGGCCCTACTGATTATTAATTTAGACATTTGCTTTATTTACAAGTAAGATATCTGAAGATGGCTGTGAGATGAAGGCTGAAATAAGGATAATGATAAAAAAAAAAACGTTCTAATATCCCTGTTTCGGTCGGAAAGTGCAGTTCACTGTGTATGATAGGGCCAACTATGAACTTTTTTAAACTTTGCTCTTCCTCCTCCACATCCACTCTCTCAAAGCACTTAACCCGTATTTGGAATAGCAGTTTACAATAGCGGAATAAGCTCTGTAGATAGTGGCTGACTCTAGTTTTATTGGCTGTACTTGTTTCAGGAGAGCTAATCCACTTAAATAACTGTGAACAACAACATGAGCGAGAAGGGGAAACAATGCAAATAGAAGGTGACATGAAGTCCGCTCTCCATTTAGCAGACATGCCGCCTGATGGACAAACCAAACACTTTAATCAGCCAAAACAAGGAAGAAACACATGTCCGGCTTTCTAAACACGCACATAGATCAAGCACTGGTGGATCTGAAACTGAACACAAACACACACACACACACACACACACACACACACACACACACACACACACACACACACACACACACACACACACACACACAGTAGGCTTGTGTCAGTCTGGAGCTCTTCAAGGACCCCTGTCCTGCTCTTCTCTTCCTCCTGGCCTCCCCCACCCACTTCATCCTGGAGAAAGGCTGCAGGCCTCGGGCTGTAAACAGCTCCGGAGAGCTGGGATGAAATGAACCAGCAGACAGGCCCATGTAGACTCCCAGATTGCTGATCTAAAAGTGGCTAAACACTCCCAGCTGTGGCATTAAGGACTCAGAGTGGCACCTCTCCTGAGGATCTGTAGCCCTCTGTGCCGCCTCACAGTGTTTTAAATCAGCTCAGAGATGGAGAGACACAGAGGGCCGAGCTGTCCACACAGTTTGGTTTTATGTTGCAGCGGTGGTGTGTTCTCTGTCTCTTAGGCTGAATTATGTCTTCTCCCACCCCTTAGCGTCTGTAACTTTGCTTTCCCTTAACCCTTTCTCTGCAGCTGTAAAATGCAGGATTACATGATTGCGATCAGTCACCTTTTGTCAGTCTTCCCTCTCATTGCATAGACAGAACTGCTATGATTGTTTCTGACTTCTAAATAAACATTGTGCGCTCTAATCTGTGAGATCTTCAAATATAGGAACAGTACACACTCAAGTGCGTTACTATGGGCGTTCAGTTATGCTTTAGTTCAGTGCCAAGGTTAAACAAAGCATCCTAGAGATGACAGATGTGGTTACATTCAGTAAGAGGTATGAGGGCGGGAGGTTGGATCAAAAGTCAGAGATGGTTTCTGAATTGAGGAGATGATAAGCACGCAAGCATGATACGTTTATTCCTTAAACAGAAGTTTTAATGTACTATACAAACAACAAACGATGAGAGTGTGTGTTCTTTTTAAAGAAGCCAAAGTTGAGTTTACTGTCCCTTTTAAAGACGGACTGGGCTTCTCTGAACTTTGAGCATGGCTGCTACAGAGAAAAAAGAAAAGCATGATTACTTACAGTTGTTAACCTTGACACAAGAACGAGTAGAGACAACTGATCTGAAGGCCTTAGTCCTCCTTCCAGTGATCAAGAGCCCCCACAAGTCTATTCATACAATTTTGATATTACTTAAGTTAGTTATCAAGCAAAAATACAGAACTGGCCTCCACAGTGTCTCCCTGCAGTCACAGTGATGGTAAAGAACGACACTGCTGCATCTTTGAATGTCTCATTTCACTTTAAAAAACTTTGAGACAGCTCAGCTGTTGGTCAGATGATGAATAGGTCTAACAGATGTTCATGTTGCTCAGAGGATGTACACATGTGACATTCATGAGGAAAAAGATGCAAGATAGATGCAGAATATCTAAGTTCACCTAATACTTCTGAAGTATGTGTTTCTCTGACCTGGGCTGCAATTCACACTCGGGTCGCCTCAAAAGAACCTGATGACCTCATGTTTCAGGCTGTGTGGTGCTCCACATCGCAACCAGCAGTATCCTCCACCCAGCACGTACTATATATAAACATCTGATTCCATAACACCTCTTATCACCTGTCCTGCATCTCCTGTGGTTTTTGTCTGGGACCTCCGCGAAGTGCTCTTGCTATGCCTCTTCACCCTGCTTGTTCCTCTGCCACAGGAATAACCCTGAAGAATGCCTTTGACCAGTGTATCGCAGATGCTGCCTTTTGTTTCCACACTTGAGCTGTTTGCATGGATGTATGAACTGACAAGCCAACACTGGCCGACACGAGCTGGCAGCAAACACTGAAGCAACAACAAACACGGTGTCCTGGTGCATTGAGGACGTGATTTATGTGACATGCCGGCTTGCTCAGGGGCCCACAGAGCTATGTTTTTTGTGTGTGTGTTTTTTTGTTTTTTTTACAGTAGATGGACAATTGTGAATGTATAGACATTATATCACCCGCATGTTGCGCCTTTAGTTTATGTTAGCCTTTTCAAAGGGGGTTCTGGGAGGAGGAAAGTTGACAGAGTGAGGCCTTGTTCTCGTTCTTACATTCCTCTCTTTCTCTTTCTCTCCAGGTGGGACAAGATGGAGAGTTCATAGGAAGGATAGACCCGAGATCGCTTCTGTAATGTCAGCAAAGGCCAAGGTTTGTCAGAAACAGACATACTGCCAAAAGAGCACACTGAAAATGTCTCTCCCTCCTTCTTTTCCCCTCAACCCTTTATCTTGTCCCCATCTCTATCTTTTCTTTATTTCTCCTATTTTAACTTGTGAAATCACCATCTCTGCAGCTAATGCCTTATCATATTTCATTTCCACTTTAAAGGCTATAAACCAGAGGATAAGTTATGTGTGTGTATAAATTCAATTGTTAATGTAATATATCCCACAAGGCTCAGAAATGAGCTTTCCATAAACTATGTCAGCACTGAGGCTGTCTTTGCTGAACTATTAGCCAATGGAAGAAGCTTGATCCTGTGCAGAAAAGAAAGCAGAGTTATTTGATTTAAATATTACAGAAGAGTAAGTGAGATCACTTAGATTAGAGGTGTTGAAGAGCAAGAGTGTTTTATGTGCTTTCATTTGTATTATCTCATTTTCTTGTCTGGCTTTTATTCTGTAATGCTCTTTGTCAAATTAGTTGTGTTATATAGTATAAGGTCACCATGAGAGCAAACGAATAAACAGCCAGTTCCTCATGGTGGCCATCTTCATTTTGTAACAGATCATGAACAGATCTGTGAACCTTACCTTTAAAGAGATGGCTAAGAAAAAAAAAGTGTCATCAAAAAATCCACTTAAAGGATGTGTTGATGATTTGAGTGAGGCATTCTTGCTGCTTGGTCAGAATAGAGAGCTATGTATGCTGAATATAAAGCAGGTGCTTAGCCTGGCATAGATTACATACAAGGAAAAATCTTGAGTCTTGTGTCAAAAAATTCAACTAGCTACACCTCTATAACAGGTTAAATAAGATGTTCTGATGATCTAGCTTTTTACAGTGTGGTGTGGAGAAATCAGACTGCCTTGTTAAAAACAAATTAAACAAGTTAAAGTAATGATATTTGATAAAGAGCTGGCTGAGACCAAAAACTGATCCAAAGCAAGAGTGAATTCTTGACTCACAATTTCTAGAAAAAAAAACATTAGTTAACTCCAAATACATTTTAATGCTGTCCTGCCAAAGACAATTGCTTGCTAACTGCTTTATGGTATGATGTCAATGTTTACGCCTTGAGCCCAAGTCACCAAGTGGCCAAATATTCAATGCAGGGGAATTAACTATACTTCATATGTAAAGCTGCAAAATTACCATTTGGTTGAAAAGATACACACATTATTAAAGAAGTGATAGTACTTGTCTTAATTAGTTTTCATGTTTGGTAGCAGCTCTGCCTTCTTGGACTGTAAATCCTAGACTTTGGTCACTCTGTCATGCATTTAGATTTAGCATTCAAGATAGTCAGTGAAACAAAACTAAAGCTAACCTTTGTGTATCTGCCTCCTGTAGGTGCTACTGTGGGTGCTCTTCTCTTTGCTGCCTCTAGTAGAAGGAGCTCATATGAAAGCCGGTTCTGCTGGTGTGGGATCAGACTCGCGCCGGGCTGTGGGCCTGCTGGGAGGTCAGGAGGAGCGCGAGTTCCCTGTGACGCTGCCAGAGGTGGTGGAGGACGAGGAGCAGGAAGATGACAGTGACCCTTACTCCACTTGGCATTCTCTTTATGGTACTGAAGCTCTTATGAAAGTGTAATTTAGAGCACATCAGCTTCACCAGGCAGTATTGGATGGGAAAGAGGGTCTGGGAATCTGCTTTGTGTCTCAGTCACAATATATTTACATGTGATTTAAACTGTGACATTTTTGTCAAAAGGTAGAGGTGAAATCTGAGATTTTGCTGGAGATTTCTCATGTTATTGCTCATCATTTTCTGAATTTTATTGTAACTCTTCGACCTAATCTTTCCTCTCTGTCTTAGACCCCTTTGTGATAGATGAGGTCGATGACCATCCCAGTAGTCGCTGGGTGGGACGCTCTCCCCGCTCCTCTGACCCCTCAGAACCTCAACCCAAGGGATCACCAAAAAAAAAGAAGAAGAGGAAGAAGAAAGAAAAGGAGGAAGCGGTAGAGACAGGAAGAGGAGACAGAAAGGGTAAAGGTAAAAACAGGCAGCCGAAGCAGAGCAGCAGGGACTGTCGTGTGGAAAAGAGAGAGATGAGGGTACGGGACCTGGGTTTGGGGTTTGACTCTGACGAGATCGTCCTCTTTAAGTTCTGTGTCGGCTCCTGTCAGTCCTCAAGAACAAACTACGACCTCGCTCTGAAGGCGCTGCTGGAAAACGGGTCACTACCTAGGCGCACTGCTCGTAAGGTCAGCAACCACCCCTGTTGCCGGCCTGACCGGTATGAGCCTGTTTCTTTCATGGACGCTCAAACCACCTGGAGGACCATCCAGTCATTATCTGCTGCCAGCTGCATGTGCATGGGCTAAAAGAATGGACGAAAAAAATAACAAAGAGGAGAGGTGTCGCTTGTCCTGTGCAGAGACGAATCAAGAGGCTCAGTGTGAGGATGGTCAGAGGGGGGCGCTGCTACAGAAACACAGCAAAGGAAGTAAATGAGACAACTTGTTCTGTGTATTTCCTTTTGAGGATGGGGAGGTCTGGATGCTGCTGGACGATGGTGGTCAAAATCAAAAGCCTGAAGGGAACTAATCAGGTTCACAGTCTGGAGTTATTGTTTCTTCCTCAAAGAGAGAATGTTTTTAAATGAATAACTGTTAACTACTGTGGGAACCTCCACACCAGTTATCAGACATTAAAGAGACTGAATACATGGACATGTTTGAGTTTTAATGGGCAAGTCCTCAAGGCTAAAACTCAAATATACAAAGAAAAGACACAATACCAGGACTGACACTGTTTTTATATTGGAATTAAGACTGAAAAACACCCAATAAGACGCTCACTTTTAATCACAGTGAAGTCAAAACCTCCTAAAGCAATATCATTTATATCACATAAGAACAGGCATTACATTGTTTCTATGTTCAGATGAACTCAGCCAAATGGATGCCATGCATCTTCATGTATTACTGTGTCAAAGTAAAATATATTTATTTCTGATAAATTATTTATTTATTATAGCTTGATACGAGAGCTGTTTTTTATATATTAACTCCATATTGTGGATAAATATCTATTTATTATGAAGACTCAGATTTCATGTGGACAGTTACTGCTTACATGCAGTACGTGCATTTCTCTTTTTTTAATGCAGATTTTCACATTTATCCAGCATCTCATACAGCCCGACTACAGATTCTGCTCAGACTAAAATTGGAAGCAGTAAACATTTCTGAAATGATTAGAGTTATTTTATAAAATAAAATCTTAATCCAAAGTCTTAGGTTCTCTATGGCATTGATTTCTTTTTTATTTTATCTTGAAATCCTCGTCATTAAAAAAGAAACAAATCAGCCTGCATTGAATCAATGTGGTATATCTGGTTAACTTTGAAAAAAGCAAGTTTGACAGTAGATATTTAATTTTGCAGTGATAACTTTATCAGTGTTCCTGAGCGAAGTCATAACTTAAGTGTCCAGAGTGGGAAGACTTTTTTTTATATATGTATACAACAGGACCTCAATTCATTTCTCATCTTAGTATGGGGAGGAAGTTCCACTCTGTTACACTTCTCCAGTATGTCACATTAATATTATTGTTTCATAAAGTGTACTTTATTTTTGTATGGCATAATCCTCTAAGGGAATAAAGCTTTTTAATATATGTCTTGTTATCACTGTTTACTGTTTACATCACGGTATTCTGAATGTATATTCTGAACGACCACCATAATGTTTTTTACTATAAAAGGGAACAGCAACACTGTCTTTTCCAAGTTCAGTTTTAACAGGACTTTTTATGTTGTAGCGCCACCTGCTGGTTTTACAGTAAACACCAATGTGAACCTGTTGTCCTCAATTTGAACTGAAAATAGTGTCACGTTTCTGCCACCTGTCGGTTCAAGTGAGAATGTCATGTATTCTATTCAAACCATTAGAACAGATCAAACTCAGCAGTGTGCTACTTTCTTTGTTGCTTTTTATTTATTTTGATTTAGCAAAACACCACAGGTCGCTCAGTTTATAGAACAACAACACCATATTTATTTTCGTTTTAAAGGCAACAGTAATGAAACATTATATTCAAAATATGAAATATACAACAAAATTGAGTAAGTCTCAAAGGTCTACATTCAGTTTTTCCTGCAACACATTTAAATAGCACAGAGTGAAGTAGCAGCATTTAGAGTTTCAAAAAGTATTAAAATAAGTGTAACAACAACATCACTATACGCAAACATGTATTTCAAATGTCCACACAGTGTATCAAACTCTGATTATTTCAGAGGAAGTATTTTTACCCTTGGGGTATAAGTATATTCTGTTTGGCTTGGTTGAAAATTGTGTACAGACTGCATCAAATGAGCGATGCTCCCTTCAGCGTCTTTTCTTGAAGCAACGAGCTTTAAAGTAAATGTAAAGCAAATACATTCAGCATTAGACGCTAATAGAAACTACGTGTATCCATGTCATAGACAATTGACAGATGGGTCAAATCAGCAGGATCTTCAACCAGGAGTCATGGGTTCAACTCTACTACATCAAATCTTTAAAACAGACTCAATTCCAGATTAAAGACAACACTTAAAACATGATATAAAAAGTAAACGCACTCCATTGTTGTAACTGTTGTTTTGAATATCAATCGTTCACTTTTTGACTGAGCAAAACCAAACTGACCTTAAGCATGTGATAGACAAGAGGCCAACAGACGCTCCACTGTAGGTCTGTATCATAGACTGTGGGTCTGTACCACAGACTGTGGGTCTGTACCAGAGACTGTAGGTCTGTACCATAGACTGTGGGTCTGTACCACAGACTGCAGGACTGTACCACAGACTGCAGGTCTATAGACTGCGGGTCTGTACCATAGACTGTGGGTCTGTACCACAGACTGCAGGACTGTACCACAGACTGCAGGTCTATAGACTGCGGCTCTGAACCACAGACTGTAGGTCTGAACCACAGATTGCAGGTCTGTAGACTGCGGGTCTGAACCACAGACTGTAGGTCTGTACCGGAGACTGTGGGTCTAAACCACAGACTGTAGGTCTGTACAAGTAACTGGTGCGCAAAAGGATACCTCGCGCGCTTAACTAGCCAAAGGGGTGTGACAAAACGTCGCTATTTGACGCCCTGGCAAAATAAGCTATTGTGCTCTCCAGCAGGAACTATTTAACATTTTAATGTGGTTTGAATTAAATTGTGAATCCTCTGCAGCAGGTTCATTCACGTTGTGTTTTGACCCGGTACAGATGTTGGGATAATTCCAGTCACCATTTTTTCTAAGTGTTGCTAAAGTTTTTCATTCAGTTTGATAAGGCTCTCCGTTTGATTCAAACTATCTGAAGTTACAAAAAAAAACAACTACAGTGGAGTTTACCACCTGACAGTGTTGCTTCCTCGCAAAGATGCATTGTAAGCTGCAGGACACAGAGACATTTCTCGGGTGATGTGGGCAGACATAACATGTCTGTCAGAGGCATTTCGCTGACTGGCTCGAGCTCGGTGTGCTGAATGTGCAGGTGACAATGTCCACTCTTCTCACGTGCGCAGAGAGGGGAGTCGTTACACTGCGTGGAGACGACATGGTTGCCACCTCCTGTTTGGACCCAGCTGTTATATCCTCCTCACAGGCCAGGATCGCGGTCGACTCCACGCTGAATGGGTGAAAGTTAGCACGGGCTGTGTCGTACTCCCACGCCTGCCTCATAGCGAAGTCTGCACAAGTCTGGTGCTTGATGGTCACACGGTGCTCCACGTCGTTCCTGTAGCTGGCTGTGCGTATTGATGCGTAACTGGTGTCATTGCTGTGTAAAGATGGAGGGGAGTGTTGGTCTCCTGCCCAGCCCATGTTGTCTCCCCGGCCGCCCGTAAAACAGGCCACCGTCCTCTTCAGCCTCTCGCAGCCCTTCAGCAGCAGATTCTTTCTGCACAAAATATACACCCAGGGGTCCAAGATCGGATTGAATGAGGCAAAGCGGATCGCCAACAGGTCGCTCCTGTTGTCTGGCTTCCCTCCAGCGGAAATAACAGCGGGGCCGTAAAGCTGGTTCACGAAGATCCGGACCTAGCCCACCAAAGACACACAAATATGAACACATTTGAACAACATACGATGACAGATAAACTGACACCAATAACACGAAGTATTTGGAACGCAACAGGCGCGAATACAAAAAAGACAAAGAAACCAAAAAGACAAAAAAATGAGTAAGTGTATAGTTCTTACCACCAAAGGGATTGAACAGACCAGGAAAACGATGGTCATCAAGATCAGAAGCCAGAACATTTGGATCTCCGCCGCTGAGGTGACTGAGGGCAGCCTTGGGAAGCGGCGCCGTGATCCTCCCTGCTCACACAACTCCGTCCTTACTATCCCCGTCCTCTGGTTCATCCCTACCAGGGACCTGCAAACCGCCAAGTTACACAAGACTGTCACTGCGATCAGCAACAGCATCACGCCTCCGTACAGGAAGGAGTAGCAGGCACCGGGCGGATCAACTGCCCTCCAGTCTAGAAAGCACCATGTCCCTGGAAAGTGACTCACGTGCTGTCCGAAACCAAAACTGGGCATGATGCACAACACGATGTTGGCCAGGTAGGTGACCAGGAGCGCAAATCGCGCCATCGTCCTGTCTATGTGCTGAGAGTAGAAATACGCATGATTTATGGCCAAATATCGTTCCACAGCCATGGCGCACAAAATGGACATCCCGGCTGAGCCAAAGAAGAGCATTGAGAAGGAGAAGAAGTGGCAGAGCAGCACTCCTCCCGGCCAACGGCTGGCTATGTATGTGGCGATCACCACAGGGCTGGTGAAGCACGTTCCCAACAGATCCGTGATTGCCATCCCGCACACCAGAGTGTAGAAAGTGGTTTCCTTTTGTTCCCGCTTAGTGATACACAGCACAATGATGGCGATGAGATTCCCCAAGACTCCCACGGCGAACATAGTGGTTGAGATGACCAGAGACCTGAACTCGAGCCTGAGCGTAGGGAACGCGCTGTTGTTCTGATTGAGAGAGAGGGACGGCAGTGGGTCTGAAACATTCGTGTCCAGTTCTCCAAACGCAAGAGTCTCGTTTATCATAATTAAAAACCAGCAATGCACAATGGTTGAGATGGGAGAACGTTCTGTGATCTTTAGATATCTCGCTCTGTAGAGAAGAGAGCGAACTAGTGTAGAACCCTGAAATATTGTATTGTCAATAGAATAAAGTGCAGTTCATGGGAGAGATCCTCTGTTCAGTTTCCAGCAGTGTTAAGCTCTCACATGAAGGTGTGCCTGCTTTTTGTTGACACTGCTCGCTTCTGCGGGTATTTAAGCTGAGTGCTGATGTCAGAAGGGTGACGTGCGGGCTGTAGGAGTTTCCTTACGATCTCAGAGCTAAAGAATCAATCAAGACTCAAATCTTTATCGCAACGTATCAATCCAGAGGTGATATAACGTCAAATCACTTAACCCAGGAGCCAAATACCCACATCTGCATAAATGACAAAACTTGTTTGTGGATGAAATAACCCCACATAAGTTAGCCCTTATATTTAAAAATAATGATCAGGTCTCACAGACGTGTCCAGAAACGTATACATTCCAGAGAGTTCCTCATATTTTTCATGAAGGAATTTATTTTCCGCAATACATTCTCACAGTTAAAGTTGTCCAATTACTTTGAAATGCAGATTTACAACTACATGTTGGTCATTCACTCACGACAACTAATTAGTTTGACTCTATGGTCTGAAAGAGAGGGAGATGGTGCCGATTGGGTCATACTTACCTGGCAGGGGAGATACCATGATCAAGAAGGTGGTTCACCCATGGCGAGGCCTGGCCATTGCACTCCGGCGGGGCTGACCTATGCGAATTCCCCAAATGTGGGACTCTCGACTGCATAATTTGTGGTAGTGGGGGACTGCGTTCGCGCTCTCCCCTGATGTTTTTTTTTTCTTTTTGAATTGCCCACCGGGGACAAATAAAGTTTTTTGAAAGAATTGAATTGAAAATCAGACTTCAGCACCACGGTCAGCGCCCTCAACCCAACGAGCTCCACGAGCTGTTTAAAACCACACACTCAGCAGTTAATAGCTTATATATAACTGTCCGCCCGACTAACCTGAAATCAACGGCGCAACACAGACTGCAATTTTTAAAAGCATGAAAAGATTAATTTAGATAAAATATAACACATAGGGACAGAGCCCAACATGCCTCAAAACGTGTCACTGAAACTTATATAAACGAGAGGCCACATACTGGACTTCTTCCAGCAACTCATCCCATCGACCACATAGCCTATAATGCTCCTTGAAGAAGTGGACTCATGGGGACACAGCGTCAATGGCACCGATTTAATGTATTTATGGCTCTGCAGCCTCTCGTGTTTATCTGTCGACTGGTGCTGACACTCCGCCTATTTGTCACAAGAAACCGTCTTTATTAGAGGCAAAGTAACAATTTCCAAAAGCCCACATCTCTACACACATGAAATAACACTTTTATGCAGAGGAGGACTATAGACAATGATAGCAGTCAGCTGCTTTTTACCGTTGTATTGTAATTTTAGTAGATATAAATCAAACTCGAAAGCAAAGCAAAGGATGCTGAGAGTTTGAGTTTAGAATCTCCTTTAGAGATTTTCTTTTCAAGACTCTGTTGAGGATTCTGTAAACTTGGACTCTATAAAACATCCTCCCACCCGACGAAACACTGCTGACAGCCAACTCTTCTCTAGAGGAGTTGAACGGAAAAAACAACAACTTCAAGGTGTCATTTAAATCAGTTTTTCGTTGTTTTACTGTCTGATGTTGTGTGATTTTATTATTATTATTATATTATTATTTTTTTTTACATCAAATCTCACCTATAGGTTTTGCACTATTGCTTACACAGGCGCGACAGTCCTCTGTAGTGTGATTGTCAGCTCTGTCGGATTTACGAGGTTTGGCTGTATGTACAAAGGTCTGCACTATGTATTGAAAAGGAAGGTTGTGTACAGTGTGCTTAAAGTTAGGATATCTAAATTTATTCTACAAAAATGTCAGATAGCCTACAAAACAAACGGAATGAGCACAGGACAAAAACGTCATCAAAAACAGCATCTCTCTCTCTCTCTGACACACACACACACACACACACACACACGCACGCACGCACGCACGCACGCCAAATACACGCTCTCCCTCTTTCTCTCAGGTTTCACTTTTGAGGATCGTATTATGTAGGCTGCCCCTTTCCAATTTTCCTTGGAGTTCGTTTAATACATTCTGAATAATAAACATCCCAGAGGCTTATAACTGTACTACAAACCCAAGAGTTCTCATTATTAATAATTCAGCAGCCTATATTTCTATAATGAAATTGAACTAGGCAACATAGCGCCTCTGGCGCATTTGCCTTTTAAATCTGAGAGAGAATAGAAAGACCCATTATCCCTCTGGTCGAAGCCCTAGTCCCAGATTTAGTCTGCAGTGTGTGCCCTCTTAACTGGTCGTTCTTTACGCACAGATTTAGAGAGCAAATTAAAACAGGCGACGTGTTTGCTCCATAGGCTACTGTATGCCGTGGGAATAATGTTGCAGGTGTTTTATAGCTTCGCTTAAGAAGGTGCGAGACACTGAACTGAATACTAGTGAGTGACAGGTCTGTAAAGGTACTCCATGTAGAAAATTCTATCATGACATTAGTCTAGATATAGGAGGTGAATGCACATTAGAGTTGACACTTTTATCAAAACAGTTCATAATGTTTCATCATCTCATTATATCTTTTAAAGGAAAAACTCAAGTGCAAAGTTACTTAATATATATTAGCTGTTAAACTGATCTGGTGGACTTAAAACTACAGTTGTTACTATCAACACCTCATATATATGAATCAACACTGATAGGTCATATTTCAATGGTTCAACAAATGTGGCACTGACTTAAGTTAAAAGGTGGATTCAGAAAATTTAAATTGAACTAAACCAAACTTTTTAGAGGTTCTGATACTCAGACATCTGACTCATGATTGTTTGATTTAACAAAATATATGTAGACATCAATACAGCATTCACTGCAACAAGTTAAACAAATGACATTATAAAGTAAATAAAAATGATACAGTGGTACAGTGTCTTAATTTATTGTCCTTTACGCTTTATGTAGCACTATAAGACAGAAGGGGCAGTGACAAATACACACGCACAAACACACACACACACACAGCCGTAGTAGGATAATCTAATTGTGAGAAATGAAATAATACATCATTCACAAATTCAACATTCACACAGAGGACAGGTCTGTGTAAGATGACACTGTAGTGGAGGCTGCAGCTCTCTATCTCTGTCTGTGTAAGTGGATTCCTCTCTTCGCTTCATGAAGCCTCCTGGGTGCATGTGTGTGTGTTATTGTTTCTGCCCCCTCTGTTTAGTAATATCCCAAAGCTTTCGGACGTCATGATCCTCTGATGCCCACACATGAAAATACACTTTCTCTAACACACACTACCTGAAGGTCTCCCAGCCGCCCACACATGAAGCAGACACTGAGTTGGTTTAATGAGGATGTGTAAGTCACTTATATGCAATTTGTGTGGTGCGGTATCTTTCACATATGCTCCACAGGGATTCCCCTTTCACATTGCAGGACTTAAATCTCTTTCTGAGCCACTAATCAAGAGTCCTCAGAGGGATTATGCAGTCTGAGGGGTGCTGAGACATTTGTACACACGCTTTCATTAGCTCAGCTCTGAAGGGAGGGGGCTGATATAAGTGGAAACCACACATGCATGGTTTAATGGTGATAATGGTTTTTTCTCACTGGTTAATAAAACTGAGGAGCCATGGAAGATTCCCTGTCTTATTATGAACAAAAGTCTTCCACTGATTTGCCTCAAGGGCAATCAATCAATATGCAAGTCAGGTATTGATCAGTCCTGTGATGTGTTTACAATCAAAATGTCAAACAGGGATATTATACTGACTGGATGCCGAGATGCAATTAAAAAAAAAAAAAAACTCTTATTTCAGTCTAATCTAATATCACATGATCTTTTGATTGTGAGAATGGAAATAATCACAGTGGTGACCTTCTCAGCTAAAATTAAAAACACAAATCAAAATGTTTAGAGTTTGTGTGACTTCATAGACACCTTTATTGTTTTTATTCTGGAGTCCAACAACTGCACACACAAATTAGCTTTTGCTCAATAAGTACAATGACACAGCTCATGCTTTGTTTGACATTTACAAAAACTGCTGTAAAAAACAAACAGGATTGCACTATTTTTTAAATATTTTTACCCACTGGATGCAGAGAAGGCAGTACTCAAGTTTGTCACCGCTCCCAGCCACAGTCCCAAACATACCTGAAAAAACAACCTTTACTTTTAAACATGCAAGAAACTGGTTGAGCTTTACAGTTAATGAGCTGCAGTTTTGCTTTTCCGCAATTTTGTGACCTTTCAGGCCAAAAGGAAAACTGCTTATTTTGATTCCCAGAGCACATGCTAGGCTAAAGTAAGCTGAGATTAGTTAAGATAAGAACAAATAAGCTAGACCAGGGCTGTATGGTGGAGAAGTGGTATGACAGTTCCTCGTTTGACACCTTTCTGTGTGGAATTCCTTTTTTCCCCTCATGCATGCGTCGGTTCCCTTCTTCCTTCCATATCCCACAGTTCAATGACATGCTCGTTCGGTATAGAGAATCTAAAATTGCCCCTAGGTGTGCCTGTTTTTTTGTCTCTGTATATTGGCCCTGTGATTGACTGGAGACCAGTCCAAGGTGTACCGCTATCACCCAATGACAGCCTGTGATCCTGAACAGGACAAGTGTTACAAATAATGGATGAATGGATGGAAGCTCAGCCAAGCTACAATGAGCTAGGATAAGATAGGATCTGCCAAGTTAAGCTAAGACAAGCCAAGATACTTAATTGCCACTGAGGCTACCTTTCTTTGAAAATAGTGTTGCATTCATCTATATGCAATTCATACTCTAAACAATAACAAACAGTATTTCCCCTGGCTGCAAAACAAAAAAGGAAAACAGCATAAAAAATAATGACAAAAGAAAAAAAGCTTTTCAAATATTTTTCTCAAAAGTTAAACAATTTCAATTATCAAATAAAAAATGACAAGGACACCCACCGGTTACAAGCAAAGCATCTACAAAATTGTTCTCCAAACAATTATAC